TGAAAATTGTATATTAATATCTATAGTTTTTAAAATGTAAAATATATGTATTTTTTAATTTTAATTTTGGTAAGATGCGTGTTTAATAATTGAATTGTTTTTTTTTATAATATATTTGATTGTTTGTTTAATTAATAATAATAATTTAAGTAAAATTGCAACGCCCTTGCAGGGTGTCACATGTTTGTACAGGTTATGATAATGTTGTTTTTTGTACTATCTGTGGCATGCAATAAAGAATAAATAAATAAATAAATATCTGTCAATGGTATTAATGATCTTCTATCATTGTACATTGGTGCAAGGCAAAATCGAGGGCAAAAGATCACGTGGACGCTCTCCTACACGGTGGACGGATCTCATCAAATCTGTCACACGATCCAGCACCAACGACAACTCCCACTCTGCAAAACACAGAGCAACATGGCGTCGCATCACGAAGGTAGCGGTGGCGCAATATTCTGACCGGCACATGACCACGACCACTCTGACAAGAGTGAACGACTAAGAAGAATCATTGTACAGATAGAGCGAAATGATGATGAAATGATGTTTTTATTATGCACATACAACATTTTCAAATTCACGCGGACCGTATTGTTTCATAATTTCTGCGATAAAGCATAGCACCTAACAAATTTATAATAGTAGGGGATAGAAATAATAACACTGAATTCTTAGATGTTTTTTATTACTCGTAAAATAACGCAGGTTGTGGACAAACTACTTAAATTAGAATTACACGACTGACTGGAATTTGATTAATTATATTTCAGTTATGTTAAGATTCCTTAAAATTACGTTTGAGAAAATCACCCATGTTAGGCTGTGACGTCCAATCGTTTTTCTTATAGTCATTTTCCCAGTATCAGAGCATGGAATTTGGTACATTTTGTAGTCCTCATGTCCCTCCGTTTGTTTGTCTGTCAGGATCCTTTATCTCGGGAACACGTGGAGGTCATCATCATCATCAGCCTATTAATATCCCCACTGCTGGGGCACAGGCCTTCCCTATGGATGGAATAGGGAGATTGGGCCACGACCCACCACGCGGGCCCAGTGCGGATTGGTGGGTGCTAACGACTGCAGATGCAATCGGGACCAACGGCTTAACGTGCCTTCCGAAGCACGGAGGAGCTCGAGATAGTAAATTTTTGGTCACCTATCGAATGACCGACCACTGCGAAAGTTGCTTAACTTCAACTTTCGCAGCCGAACGCGCTAACCAGTTGCGCCATCGAGCTCCTCACGTGGAGATACGGAGTTAAAATTTAAACCATATACTCAGCCAGCCCCTCTAGCATGACCACCGAAACGGGATATGATAAAGCGATATATCGGCATTAACTGTCAAACTACTGTCAAACTCCACTGTAGTCTGACCGTTAATACCGATATATCGCTTTATCAAATCCCGTTTCGGTCTTCATGCTAGAGGGGCTGGTCTACGGTCCCATAAACCTGAGCTGTAAAAAATCAAACTTCTAAGTTAACGTAAAAACGTTTATGTTGCGGACCTACAAATTTGTACGGAACCCTCGGTCGGCGAGTCCGACTCGCACTTATCCTGTCTTTTTTCTAATGAACTTGTTTTGAAATACAAGTTCAGCAGTCATGCAGTTGTCGGGGGAACAGTTTTGTGGAATACTTTTCAATCTAAGAGGTCCCCCGAGTGCAGTGACTTTTTTGAAGTTGTTTTTGATACCAGCCACTATCATCTTGCGGCCCCTTTTTTAATGTCTGGAAAAGGCGTGACCCCTTCCTCGCCACAGGGAATTGTAATGAAGATATGTGCGGACTCCTCTCCTCCTCATTTCATTACCTTTTGGTTTAGAGATATGAACAGAGCCCTACCCACTAAAACAATTGACGCACTCCTACTCCGACACGCACTCGGATGACCAAGGTCCTCCACATGTGTGTCGAGAGTGCGGGTGTGATAGTGTCACCCTGGCAGGATTGGTCACACACCAGCAAGCTTATTGTCATTTGCCAGTTGCCCAGAGTATCAGGGGCACCTATCATCGGCCTTTTTTTTATAACGCAGGTAAAAAATCTTTTTACAGAAGACGGCGCCTTTAAGAGGCACACCGCCGAACCGACCTCACACCTGGCTCCCGCAAGTCTTAGGGATCCCCCAGTGGCTGACCACCGAGAACCCCGCAACTAATCCGCTAAAAAAGTCCTGCGAATACCTTCTACACTGCTTAATGTGAAGCCGCGGGGTCCCAGTTAGGGATTCTACCACGACTCCGCACCCAGCAGCTTCCCTGCCTCGCCGGGGCTCCACGGCAGGGGTCTCCCGAGGTATTGCGGTGACCCTGCAGACGTGCGCAGGTAGGCCCGCGCGTGGGGGCTGGGTGCGCGGCCTAGTGCTCCCCATCCGCTGCGGAAGGCCTTCTTAGGCGTACCCGTCCAAATCTATCATCGGCCTAGCCGGTACTTCCACACCAAGTCCGCTGGTTTTCGCGGAAGCGGGTGGAGGAGCGTAGTTCTCCCCGTCCCTCTACCCTCACATAGTCAACTGCTTTACCACTTGGTGTGGTCTTGGTAATAAGTGGTATTAACTGAGTCTTGGGTTACAGTTAGAGAGCACTTGCTTTGATAGCTTCGATTTGGGTTCGACCTGAAAATCTACTTTGAAAACCCCCAGCGTTATGACATCGTTAGCCTAAAATGGAGGTGGTGAAGAGGGTACTTTGTATTAAAGATGCGATGTGCATGTCCCAATTATTTTCCGGTCTGCAATAGGCACCTTTTAATTACATTCGGCTTAAATGTACTTACCTTTTTTTTTTAATATTGAGAAATCCGTTGACGAAACGTACCGTGCGCTAGCGAGGCGCACGACGTGTGTGGAACTCACCCGGTGCGGGATACAGCGCCGGTGCTACCCACTAAAACTCACCGGTACCCTCCTACGCCCATGTGAATAAACATTTAATTTTGTGACATATGAAAGTTTCATTTTCATATAAATGTGTGCGACATAGAAACGAACGAACGAACGTATTTTGTGATCTCCATCCTATTTTATTATTGGGAAATATACTTTGATATTATGATCCTAAGAGGTGACCTTCTTTCTGCCCTTTACTAATACAAATACAATATGTTTAATATGTCATATTAAACTTCGTACAGGGACTTTTACGTATCAGCGTTTATAGAGTTATCCATTACTCTTTGTTTACGTCGTATAAACACTTCCTTCAGCTCGTAGAAGTTTGAAGGTTTGAAGTAAGCAGTTGTGTTTCACAACGGGGTGCTAAAGTTCAAAAAAACCTTTTTGGGCTATAAATATGATGAGAAGTAGGTGTGTTAAGATAAAAAGTGTGTATTGGAATTGGGTTAGTGTTCGCATTTAATGTTTATGTTAGTACACTCAAGAACAGATCCAGACTTTCTTTTATTGTCTTTAGTTTGCTTGTAATATATACCTATATAATCAATATTAATGTGATGAAATTCAACATAATAATAACGTTTATTTCTGAACAAACAAATACAGCTTTCGGAACAGAATTCCCGGTAAGTATTATAAATATTTGTAGTGGAATTCTCGCTCCCCCTAGATCAATTGACACAAAACCATTTGTACAAGAAATACAAATCGAAAGATGACATCTAAAACTGCAGACATCAACGCATGTTTTCATGTTTAGATGTCATCTTTAAACTAATTGTATGAAACAAAACAGGTAGAAAAAAAAAGCCCTTGCTGAGTTTCTTGCCGGTTCTTCTCAGTACAAGGTCTCCCGCCGTAGATTTACGAACCGATGGTGTAGCGTTTGACTTTCACAAGAGCTTGTAACAACCCAGACTGAACAATATGAGTTTGAATCGTTAAGAGGATTAGCAAAATGATACTGGAAGGATAGTTATGTTGATGGAATCAAAAACCTATTTCTTTGACAATGTGTGCATGGTATGTATGATACGATAAAAAGAGCTCAATGGCGCAGCAAAGCCTCATTAAAACTTTGATAGATCCATAATCGCATCGTCATCGTAAAATTAGGAGCCAGTATGTTCTTACATCCGGTATAGGCGCTGCTTAGCTTAGCTGCAGAATACTAAATTTTTAGTAATTAATAATTCTTATATAAAATTGGAAACACCATTTTTCAGGAGGATTGAAGTGGCAGATTGGTTTTTGTATGAGGAAACAACACCATTTTCCATTTTGAGTGAGTGCTCCGACTCACGACACTGAACGATCCAATATGGTAAAGGTCGCGCTTGAACTAGTTTTTATAAACGCACCAGATCAATGGTCTTGTAAATTTTGACAGAGGGGAAATGCCTGTAATGGCCTCCCATCATAGATACTCCAGGGTACGGGTATACAACATGATACAGTTTCACTAAAATTTGAAGTTTCTGAGAACTGCTGAGATAAGATTAGATTGTATTTCACAAAGTAGCTGTTTATTAAATCTTATAAACCGGTCAGATAATTTTATTTACTTATTTTGACAATCAAGTTAAAAATACTCGTACAAAAGATGCACTCATCATATACCTATGCACTCTCCATGCTTTTATAGAAAGCTGTCTATAGTCACGAAAAACGATACGTGACATTTTCAAAACCATTAATACAAATATGTTTTAAGAAATCCGATCACTCTATTGTCTATGCTGTCTTTGTACCTTCGAAACAATATTTGTATTTGCCTTGTTAGAAAGGGTGCTTATATAAAAGACAAACAACCAGAATTATCGCCTTCTCGTAACAATGGGCAAGGGTCTTAGAGAAATAACATTTTGTTTGTACGAGAAAAAGTTATGGGAGGTCATCTAACATTTTTGCAGTCGTTTTACTAGGAATATTCTTTCTTATACAAAGTCGTAAGTTTCATCTCAATTTCTGTATTTCTCGATATTGCTTGGTTATCACTTTCTTTTGTTACGATTTCTTAAGGAATCTACTTGCTATCTCACCAAGTTTAACCTGGCTATGCGAAGAAGGAAAAATCAAAGACAAACTCATAATACTTTCAATTATTTCTTAAAACTTAAAAATATTTACAAAGATACAAATCTTATATCACATAAATTAGCAATAATAATAAAGGTGGTTTTATTTACCAAACATCATAAGAGTCTTTATTACGCAAACATCTCTAAATGGCACACTTAGTATAACGACAAAACTTTGGACGTGATGTAGTACCAAATAGAAAAACAATTGACAAAAGTGAAACAGGCATAAGTACAGCAGTAAACATTATTCATATGAACTAATATCTACAGATAACTTATATTTACAAAATATTATACAACATTAGAAAAATAAAAACAGTCATTGTCAAATTGCACTATGTTCTTTAGGAGTATCTGTTGTAATAATGTTATCACAATTACATTATAATTATTGGTAACCAATTTCGATTGGTCTCAAATTGAGTATTCTATGTCCCTTCACAAGTCAAATTATTGTCACGTCGTGCTTATGCAAATTCACTATCACTTACTTCTTTTGTTCCTTATTTTGGTTCTTTACTATAAAGGTCTAGCAAACATAAGTCTTTCACTTCCTTGCCGTCTCATGATCTCTGCAGCTGCTGGAGTTGCAACAAAGACGGCTGCTTGTCCACCTAATTCCATAAAACTTTTTCTTTTATGGTTTTTCCCACTAGGTCTTCTATCCATCCTAGTGTCAAACACATCTTCGTTTTCACTATGATCATAATCGATCATAGGTTCATTAACGACTTCATTCTTTCTCATAATCTTCTTGCTGTTAACAAAATACGGTTGCCCTGTGTTAGAAACGTTCGGTGATGATATTTGTCTCATCAGTCTACTGGAATTAGGCTTCTCGAAAGCTGGGAAGTGTCGTTGCATATTTTCTGAGAACGATTGCCGTCGGTAGTGTAGATGGCGTGAATCTAAGGGCTGGTGGCCGAACGATGCTCGACGGTGAAATGTTTGGTCGGCGTCTCGGTACGACTTACGAGACTCCTGGTTGTGATTCGACTTGAGAGAATCTTCATAACTGCATCTGCCAGAAACAAAAGGGGTTTAATGCGTGATGATTTTGTGTTTGACTCTTAATTGGGTAAAAACAATATTTCGCACTACGAAATATTGTTGATGACGATGTGTATTTTATTAGTGAACTACTAACAGTACTTATTAGCAGTCCGACGTGACATCATTTACAGAAATTAAATTGTCCCAAATAAGTTGCTATAGTAAAGTAATCAAGTTATAATTCATATTATTATTTAATTATTTTACTCAAACAAATTATGCAGTATTTCAACCGTTAACTCTATATTAGAAAATAATATTATTGCTGTTGCATTAATGAGTCATCCGAAAAGTTACAGTTAAATTTGTGTGCTATTTTTTCAATTTTAACGCGAATACACCGTATAATCGACAGCGTCTCAGATTTTTGTTGTCTTTAAAGTTTTAAGAATATTAAATTTTTGAAATCGTATATCTTTTCAATTAAGCCCTTTCAAAGGACACTGAATGAGTTTTACGTCATCACTGCCAGGTATTAAGTTTGCCGACATGCACGTAGAAAAGGCGTCAAAACGCAATAGAGGACACTAATAAAAGAGCATTTGAAACAATCATGAAAAATAAAATAAACACAACACAACATATTCCTTCAGTAAAATTTTATGATTGAACCATTGATATTGGATGGGACACGTCACGTCATCAGACACGTCTGTTGCTATGATGCCAGAAGCAATCAAGCCACCTATTACTGTGTTAATAGTATTGCCTAGCAATCGAGGCGGCTGTTTAATGTTTGTCATCAAAAACAATGCCAATGCAGGGACATACAAACTATTCTTGGCTTGAAAAATACGTGCTGCTTTTATCCAAGCAAGTGCGATATTCTTTTTTATTGTATGCGCAAGGTTAGCAACTCTGATTATTCTCAGAAGTACAAGATTTGACGTTTTTATTAATGTTTAAAGAACGAGCTTATATAAATAACCCCTTCGGTTTGTTTCTACGTTTATTATTGATTCAAGCCCACTACTTTCTGGAGCTTAACTCTCTTTCTCCGAAACGAAATTTCTGTAACGAACGAATTTTAAACGAAATTTCGCCATTGATTCTACTCTATTTCATTTTCGAACAGGCACATTAACTTCGGAGCCATAAACAGTTTTCGTGAACAAATGGAATGAATCGTGTTTGTGAATTCTTTTTATCTCTACTTTTAAGAAAACGTTTTTTACTTGGTAACAATATAGGTAGTTTACGGCAAATTTTTTTATGACATTGAAAGAACCTTCTTTGACAGTGTTAGTCGATCAATTTGTAGAGTTGATACAATGTACTGTATGTCAACCTAAATTTGTCGTTTAATACTTTGAAGTATCGAAATTACAATAAATAATAAAAAATGGTTTATTTGTTAATTTTATATGCTAAAATGTTTCTCGAGCTAAGCAGCTATTATTATAAATACTCTTGCAAATGTATTATTTCATGGCTTAATTAAAACAAAAATCTCAAAACGAAAATAAAAAGGTAACACTTGTCATTTCGCCAATTTGAGGTTAAAATTTCGAATGGAATGGATACGAAATTATGTAAACGTTTGCTATACCTGACGCTTTCGGTTCATCGCCTACCGTGACTACTTTCCCTATTCGAGGAATTCTGGAAAATGATGACAGTTGCCCATATTATGACTTGATTAAATAGAAATAACATGGTCACGGGACATTTATCCTCACATTTAGGTAGTGGCTATGAATTTTTAGGACAGTTACAATGTAAGATTTTAAATTCTGCAGATTCAGGTTTTTTCGTTTATGGTAGGTAAAATTACATCATCAAACCCTCAATAGTGTTTCAATTTCATATTATCGGTACATATTCATATTGCAACAACACACACACACTTAGAACAAACTCCGTATAAAGTTTGTTTACATTTGTCTCAATAGTTATTTCCCATTCTTATTGCTGTAGTTTGACTTCATTAGTAGTGATTAATGTGTGGCATTGTTTTCCATAGCTTATGTGCCGTATTCTTGATGAAATAATGAAAACACAGTGACTTTGGCAAGTAAATTAAAATCAAATAAATATAATACACGAAAGACAAATAGAAGAGTATACTAAATGGCATGGTCCTAAAAATCATCGCTTTCCTTAATCTTAACACTCCTTCCGACTAGCGAAAAGAATTATGGATTTACATCCATAACTCATTTTACCAGTCGGAAGGAGTGTTGCAAAATTAAAACAAATGCATTAATCTTACCCGCTGCTTTCCTCCGATGTATGGACGCTGGATTGACCACAGGGACACCGCGCTTCCGCTATCCCAGAGTCCTGGCCACTGGAATTCACTGAAGTTATCGACGTGTCTTGCCCCTTCCTAGGAATTGCTCATGTTTACTGTGGTGTTGTGTTCTTGAAGTGATTAGTATTGATGCGACTGTTAGATGCATGTTAGTAATTATGATATTAGTGATTAGTATTTTTTTTTAAATAACTGTTTACTTAAAATTAGTGTATTTTTCGCATCTAAACTACAGGCTAGGCCCTATATCTTATATACCAAACTCTTCGTGTAGTGAAATCTAAGATGTTAGTACACGTATGTTATTCAATGTCGTAAAAATATATATATAGTAAAACTTTATGATAATACAAAATGTTAACTATATAGAAATGCAAATTTCTTTAAATACCAGTACATATTAACCAAATTACAAATCTTAAATTATCTTATTTATTTTTTGCGAACATGTTTTCAATACTTTCACAACACTGTGATTTTATCCAACTTCTCAGTTTAGATTTACATTCATACGAGTTAAGTGAAACCAAATTAAGAATGTTATTGACTTTATTGTTCAAAAAAGGGCTAAAAAATTAGATTATGTTTGCAAAAGTATTTTTTTTTTTGGGAATGGTGATGCTTCTGTTGCGTTAGTTCTTCTATACATTTAATGTCTTAGGATAACACAGGGACAACTCTGTTCATTTTATATACAAAAAGTTATACTAATAACGTACTTCTTATTTTGTTGAGTTAATGAGAGTTAGTAAAGTTATTAAAATAAAGAATGATGAGTTATATAAATAAATTGTTTGCAATATTATCAAATAAATCATAATTTGAGAATTCAGTTTATTACAATATTGAAATTATTTATGTCACAAAAGCTTAACATGAGCAATGTATATACACAATAATAATTAATTTTGATTGATTAAGGATTCTTTTACCATTCAGGATATTTATTTGTAAATTAGTATGAGTGTAAAATAAAAAATAAATAAAAGCACGGTATTTGTAGGATGATTTAAAATACCTTAATTGAAATAATAATAAAATATGTATATCATACAAACGAAAGTATATTTTAGAAAAAAAGGTCATAATAACATGGATAAAGATAAATAAAAGTGATACCCATTTACTAAACGCGAAGTGGTAAAAGTAGATAAGATTAAGCTGTTTAAAAATATGCCCAAACAAATATAGACAAGAAGCTAAAGCTAATGTTAGTGGATAAATAGTCTTGGATAGGATATAACCTTAACTTTACCTCTTTTTCAACGGACGCTGGTTAAATTTGATGCACATTCTCTCATGCTTCTGACTGAAGTCAGAGTTATGATCGAACTGGCCCTTTACGCATTTCTGATGGGCTTTCCCAAACTCCTCCACAGTGTTACCATGAGGGCAAATCTTCTTAGACATGTTATGGTTAATGACGTCAATGTAAGAGTCTGCTTCGCTGTAAGACTGATTCAACTCTTGGCACTGATTCCCGCCTGACGGGAAGAGACCTCCGTATTTAGTTAAGTGCTCAGTGGAGAAAGCGTTAAGACGTTGCTGGGGATATGGTTTGTGACGTTTTCTGTTAAAGTAAAAGAAAATATGAAAGTTAGATCGTGGTTAAAAATAAAACAAGAGAAACAAAAGAAATGTACACAATATACATAAGCTACAATTATAGTTGGGAATAACAACACCCCAGTTTACAATTTAACGAAATTTATTTTAACTTGTTTTACAATTGAACTATTATAAGCTACGACTACTAAGAAATTGAAACAAATAAATATGTAACTGATATTATAATAGCTTTTGTTTTATTTAATGTAATAGAGAGGTGCATGCTTTGGTATGTTGTGGCCGTGATCCCTGAAAAGGAATAGAAAATAACACCTTACTCATCTGATAAAGCTGAAAGGCAAAAAGAGGAAAACCAAAATAAGGTGCTTTTAATCAAAAGTGAAGTAGTAAATAGTTTAGTTGTACATAAACTCGTGAGGCTACACAGATTAAGATCTAGCTTGTTGCTATTCACAAAATCAAAGAATCGGCGACGAGGCTATAAGGCTATTGACACTGAAACTCCGATCGCTTAGAAGTTCTCTTGGAAAGTTGAATATAGTAATGTCATTTTCAAAGAATGAATCGACTCGAAAAGTTGTAGTCTCTTTCAATGAGAACAAGATTGATACTCGTTATCGAATGGTTCGACAGGGAGAATTTTCAACATAAATTAATTAAACTTAGAGGGTATGAGCCTTTCTAGTATTTATTTTTGTCTGATGTTATTCATCTTCGCGTCGTTCAGACAAGAATAAGTAAACGATATAGTTGAAATCGAAACAAATTTAGCAAACTTAGTAGTAATAAATTTGTAGTGACTTTGTAGGCTTAGATAGATAGATAACACTTTATTGTGCACACCACATTAAATATTACACACTATGACTGAAACTAAAAATAGTGAACAATTGGCGGTCTTATCGCTATATAACAATTTCTGCCAGACAACCATAGGATGGAGAGATGAAATTTAATAAAAGAGGGGGTGTGCTAATATAACAAATAAAAGTAATTACAATAAAAGATTCACGATTAAACGTACTCATAAATATCTACTATTCAAGTATACAAATATTAAATTAATGAGTATGAGTAAGTTATTTTATTAATTTCAGTTTCATTGATGCACTGAATATTTCATATGGTTTGTTTAATTTCGATATCTTTTTAATAAAGACAAATAGTTATTTAAGTAAATTAATTATTAAAATGTGGCCTCGTCGTCGACCTAAATGTTGTCATGAAACGAGTGATAGCCGGCCTTAAGTCTATAAAATGATTTCCAAAACTGTCCAGCTCTTTGATTTGATAGGATTTTATTACGAGCATCTTAGGGGAATTTGGATTCCGGTACATTCTGTGTTCTGTTTCGCGCTAAGTGTAGTACAAAATGTACTGTGGTAGGTATATTGTAGTCTGTAACATGTCATGTAGTTATTACCTCCAAAATTCTTCCACTCAAACTCTAATAGAGAATTTGGTATAATAAGGTGTGATTTTAATTCAATACATACCGTCTGCTTCTTTTAACACAAAGGACACAGATGGCAGTGGTACACGCTCCAACGAAGACGATGCATCCCAGTGCCACTACGCTGATCTCCATAGTGTTCAGAAGTTTGCCGCTGCGAGCCTGGACCATGGCTGTGTCTCCCACCTCCAAGACCTTGAATCCGGTGAGGTCGTGGCGGAGATCTATCTCCCTTTTGAGAAGGGATCTGAAATATTTTGACAGGTTTTCTTATTGTAAATAAAGTAAAAAAATACTTGTTTTTATCCGACTTCAAGGAGGAGGTTCTCAATTCTACTAACACCATATACACTTAAAAAAAGCGATACGTTAAAGGTCTGTCAATAATTCGTGCTTGAGCCTCTAACTTGAGTTTAAAAGCTTATAACTAATTTGAATTAAGAAAAGGTATCTTTATCATGCTGTATACGAAATGAAAAGGAGAGACTGTTGTCATTTCTAGAGTTTAATATAGGTATCAGAATTGAGTCCATTACAAATTGCGGTTTCAAAGGTTTTCAATTTATTAATAAGTCTTATTCTGTTCATAAGCAGCTTTAAATTGAATCCTAACACTTCAATAACAAGAGTTTGACACTTAACGTTGTTGTTTCATAAAGTTAGTGCAAAAATAAACATGCTCCACCTGATGTAAAGTTTTGAAGATTGTATGATTGGTAAGGCGAGTAAACGTGCTACCCTCATCAATTCTTTCTGAAACCTCTTTGACTAGCGGACCCCCAACACCATTAAAAGGTTATCTGTTATTGCACTGTGGTTAACTCTAACAAGTTGAAAATGTGCTAAATGCAACCTCATTAACTTATTATACCACTCTTTTAGATGTTTAGTATAAAATGAATAGCATGTCAAATATTTATTTCTTAGGTTTTCACGCACATCACTCATTAAATAAAACTAGTTTTTACGGGTTAATGCACGAAACTTTATTTATTTATTGACGTTTCGCAGCCTTTTCAGGTCTGCATCGTCAGAATAATGATTTTTTATTTAAAATAAAGAAGAAGGCAGCTCGACAATTTTAAATAAAAAATCATTATTCTGACGATGCAGACCTGAAAAGGCTGCGAAACGTCAATAAACAAATAAAGTTTCGTGCATTAACCCGTAAAAACTAGTTTTATATAGCATGTCAAAGTTAAAAAATCAATTAAAACAAAAAAGTAAGTAATTTACAACCTGACCAGAAAAATGAAAAATAAAATCGCTACAACGCGGTATATAAAATTGAGCTATAGTAATATACCTATCTAATTGTTAATACAACTTTACTTATTGATGTGCTAAAAAGCGATTGAGGCTTTACCCGGCCAGGTTTCTTATTTCTCTGATCAAGCTATAATAAAATTAAAATTAATTTGAACGTTCAATTAAATTTCCTGCTTACTTTTGTAAGACTTCCATATCGATGATGGCGTTCGACATTGGATCCACGGCGTACAGGTAAATGTCGGTCCTATTAATAAAATTTACCTTATTACTTGTCGATATTTAAATTAGGTACTTATATATATTTACCAGTAACGTGATAGAGAAAAGATATTATAAAATCTATAATTGGGACATTGTTTCTAATAATTCTTTTGAATTTAATAGGTAGCTAAATTATAATTGATTTCTTAGCTTCTATTCTATTTTAAAAGACGGGGTACTAAAATGTTGTTATAATCGCTTGTAGCAAGTCCCTTTATTGCTAGGGTCGCTAGGCGAGCGCTATATTTTTTCTCTTAAATGTTTAAGAGGAGCTCGATGGCGTGGGTGGTTTGCTCGTTCGACTGCGATCAGTGAAGTTAAGCAACTTTCGCAGTGGTCGGTCATTGGATGGGTGACCAGAAATTTTCTATTTCGAGTTCCTCCGTGCTTCGGAAGGCACGTTAAGCCGTTGTTCCGTCGTTAGCACCCGCCAATCCGCATTGGGCCCGCCTGGTTAGTCATGGCCCAATCTCCCTATTCCATCAATAGGGAAGGCCTGTGACCCAGCTGTGGGGACATTAATAGGCTAATGACCAGAAATCTTCTATCTCGAGTTCCTCCGTGCTTCGGAAGGCACGATAAGCCGTTGGTCCCGGCTGCATCTGCAGTCGTTAGCACCCGCCAATCCGCACTTGGCCCGCGTGGTAGGTTATGGCCCAACCTCCATATTCCATCCATAGGGAAGGCCTGTGCCCCAGCTGTGGGGATATTAATAGGCTGATGATGATTATGAAATGTTTTAGATACAAGTCCTCAGAATTCATTCTAAGATTTTTTTTTAATAGAAATCACAAAATTGTATTTTGCAGAGATCTGATAACATTAACTCAATGAATAAAATTAAGGACAAATGAAAGTTCCTGGAAGGGAATCAAATTATACTCAAGTGACTATTTTATTGCCGATTCTGATAAAATTTTTATAAAGACACGAGGATAAACTTTTCTTAAACTTGACCTATATATTTATTATAATGACATAAAATTGTATGGAGGTTTGTTACTCTTTCACGGTAAAACAGTTTGATTTATTTGAATGAAACTTAGCTTATATATGTAGATTATTATCTAGATTCTAGATTAACACGTATGATACTTTTATCCTAGCAAATTTTAAGTTCCTGTGGGATTACAAAAAGACTGATTAAAACGCAGTCAAAGGTGCGGGCGGAAACTTGTCTTCTATATTCAAGAAACATAATTTAAACCCAGTTTTCATTTTCATCAGCCTAATAATGTCCCCACTGCTAAAGTACATGACTCCCCTATTACCTGAATAGAGAAATTGGGCCATGACCTACCACGTAGAACCAAATATGCAGATTGATGGGCAATAACAACTTTGGATGCATTAAGGAACATACTTTCTGAAGCACGGAGGAGCTCAAGGTGATATACTTTTGGGTATATCTCCTATAACCGGCTCGTTTAAAACAAGGAAAAGAAACGAGCTTGCATTGCCAGCCTACAAGTACCAGAGGGTTTACCGATAATTTATGGGTCACGATATACATTTTTGCAATTAATTTCCTTATGCTAGTCTTGAGTTATCCATAAATGAGCTTAAAAGCCGCATTAAAAGTTGTTTACTTAAGAAACGCTATTGTTACTATTAAAGGATATTTGAATGACGAAACGGCATGGTTGTAACTGCAACTTTGTTTATGTAATGCAATTCGAAAAACTACATAAAGAAAAGTGATAGAAACATGATTGTTGGTATGTTAGAAAGAGTTCGAAGAGATGATTTGGCCTGTTTAATTGTGAATTTTGTCTGATATTAACATGAGACCTTATGCGTCACACGTCAAGATATATCTACTAAACTCATTAGAGTCATAGAAATTCACCGCCATGAGTTCAGTATTGATACTATTTTGTTATGTAGTGTATCCAATGATTACTAAGGTTTAGTAACGAAATGGTGAAATCTTAAACTGATATTACTTAAAATCTTTTATGACACTCAATTTTAAAGACATAACTACTTACGCATATCCATCCATTGAAGCTTTCATGTTGGCTTCTAGACGTCTCACTCTAATGTCGAAGCCCGTCATGGTAGTTAAGTACCGGGTAATATTACCTATTTCCCTTTCAACTTCCATTGGTTTGGCTCCAACAACTAAAACTAGTTGTTTGTTCTCATCCAGCACATAGACCTACAAATAGCAAATGTAATTTATGTCCTTGTAAGGGTTATTTTATTTTCTATTTCCCTTAAAAATCGAAGTGGTAAAACTACAGTAGTTGGTTCTTTAAAGTATATTTTTAATGTTTACATATAATTTATTAAGGAAGTCATCACAAAAAGATAAAGGGTGGTTGAGTACATGAGAGTTTGAATTGTCTATTTCACAGATGCAAAATATAAAATATGCCGAACGAACTAGCTTCAAAATAAATAATATTTAGTTTTTGCATAAATACAAAATGGCAAATATTTCTTTCTTCTTCTGCTACAATTCCCTAAAGAACAGTATACTTTACCCAATTAAATTATAAGGCATTTACTTACAAAAACATTGGCAATAGCTGACTTGCCATCGTCAGCGCCTCGTTTGTCTGTTGCCTTGACATCAAACCCAAAAACTCTTCCCGAGTCTCTGAGTAAAGAAGCTACGACTCTAACGCGGCCTGTAACGGGATCAATGGCAAACCTAGGTGCTTGTTCATTAATAATCTGGTAACGAATATCAGCGTTGATACCAGCATCGGCATCTGTAGCCTAGGAACAAAAAAAATTAAATCTGAAATTTATAGTTTGTTTATCGTATACAAATAAAGTATAGGTTATTATATTAAGTTCTGCTAGAAATAAATATAAAGAAAACTTTTACTGGAAATAATTCACTCAGTCCTGTACCCTTAGCATGAACCAATATCGAAATCAAATAGTTTGCGAGTGCGAAATGTCATTGTCAAATGTGCACTGAGTTTTAGGTCTCGTTACGTCCGTTATGGCGCTGCTGTGCAAACTTCCATACAAAATTTGAAAATGACAATTCGCACTCGCAAACTATTCTAATTCAATTTTGGTTCGTGCTAAGGGTACAGGTTTCTAACAGATTCAAAGCCGCTCCTTTCGCAATCCAGGCGGATGCACTTACCAATATGCTACCGAGATTCTAATAGCCGTCTCGTGTAATTTTCTTTTATTAATAAATGTAGGAATTAAATGCTTAAAAATATAATAAATACTCTACAATTTCATAATTGGTTAATATGTCCACCAGAATTTAGGTACGTGCGAGTTCGAATCCTGTCTGAAACTTAGACCGCGTGGATTTTTATTTAAGTTTTCTTAATAAATAAATCATGTCAGGCAAAGGAAAAATATCTGCAACAACGTACTTACATGTAACTGCATGACTTGATAACCAAACGGTGCAGTCGTTGGTATGGCTGTAACTAAAGGTCTTCCACCATTTGAGAACTTAGGGGCATTATCATTAACATCTTTTATTCTTACTATTGTTTTAACATCATACTTAGTCATCCCTTCTAATACTTCATCTGAGACAGGATAAATCATATGCGGAAGTTCTCTGCTGATTTTTTGTCTTTCGGCACGTATAATCACTTCATACATGTCCCTTATTTCCCTATCGGGACTCCTAGTTAGGTAAAGAGTTCCATTTTTTGGATCAATCATAAATGTTCTTCTTATAATAGTATCGTTATCATTCAAAATAAAATATTTCATCTTGAAAGCCTCATAGTGCTCTGTTAAATTAAGTGTAATTAATTCTACAGGTGGCCGAACATTTTCTTCAATTTCCATTTCATAATAACGAGAAATAAAAACAGGTTTATCTGACACTTCTACTTCATCAGGAACATCTGTTATTGTCAACATAAGCATTGCTGTTGAACTCAAACTTGGTGAACCTAGATCTGAAGCTATGATAGTCACGTTATGCTGATTTTGAGTTTCAAAATCTAATTTTCCTGTCGTTGTTATAATGCCTTCTTTTGAATCAATAGCAAAAAGATTTATTTGGTTCTTCCGTTGTGGTAAGCTATACAAAATCAGACCATTTCCATTTCCAATAAAATCTGAGTCATTTGCATAAATTTTAGTTACTATAGTCCCTACAGGAGCATTTTCTGGCAGCGTTGCTTTATAAATAGGTATCACAGAAACTGATTCAAAGTTATGGTTGGACATTGCATTGGCTTCGGGATGTTTCCATTCGAAAATATCATCATATCCAATAAACTTAGGTGAATTATCATTGACATCTAAAACTTGAATTTCTACGCTCACTGATGAAGACAACTTCTTTTCTTGACCGTTATCCTTTGCCACTATAGTAAGAATATACTTGTCCTCTTTTTCCCTATCGAGTTCACCATTTACACTAAAGACACCAGTAAGAGGTGAAATTTCAAATGGTATGTCATTACTTGAAGGTTGAATAAAGTATGTCAAGTTTGCATTTGGTCCAAAATCTGCATCTGTAGCATCAACTTTTCCAAGTACTCTCCTTGAATACTGTGCTTCTTCTACATCAAAAGTATACCAAGACTTTTTAAACATTGGATAATGGTCATTGACGTCAATTACAAAGAGTCTTATAGAAATATGATCGCTCAATTCACCGCCGTCTATTGCAGATACATTGAGTCTGAATTCTGATTCTGGTGGTAATGTTCTGGCTACTATAATATGCCCATGTCTCTCGTTAATAACAAAGTATCTTTTAAGTTGCGTAATGTTCGCTGTGAACGTATTGGGAGGAGTGAATACTTCTGATATAAATTCATATCTAATTTGGCCATTGTTTCCACTGTCCATATCAATCGCATGTAATTTAAGTACTGTGGAACCTATAGCAATATTTTCTGGTAACAAAAACAAAGGACCCAATTTACTTACATTTGACGCAAAGTTATTCTTAGGTCTTACTTCACTATTATACGTAAGACCAGTTAAATCATTTTTTCTTTCCTGATAAATCTTAATTTTATTGTTTTCATCGGCTTCAATGAGTTCTACATTTTCTCCGAGGGGAATAATAATTTGACTGTAAATTGGCTTATTGTCATTTTCGTCTATCACTGTTAAAGTTACTTTAGCTTCAGAACTCAAGCCACCTTTATCTCTTGCCACTATATTTAAAATATAAACGGACCTTTCTTCACGATCTAATTTATCTCCAATAAAGGTTACTTGTCCGGAGTTTTCATTAACGTTAAATAGCTCATGACCATCACCAAATAATGTGAATTTGAACAGAGCGTTTTGACCTATATCAGCATCCACTGCTTTTATTTTGTTATTCATTCTTACTTCCGTTCCCTTTTTTGCGTTTTCGCGTATAGATCCTTCGTATGATGGCATTTCAAATACTGGTGGATTGTCATTATCGTCATCCACATTCACGGTGACTTGATAAATACCGGCACCAGATATCATGCCTTTGTTAAACTCAGCAATGACTGTAATACTGTATGTCTCCCTTTTTTCTCTGTCTAAAGGTTTTTGTGTAAAAATTGTACCATCTTGGCCTGAAAATAAAACATGATCATGTCTAAACATACATGTAAATATTTAATACATTTTACTATTTTACCTAACATAATGATTTTACCTATGGCGATGTCGTCACTCACGTCTTGTTTGTTTGCGATTATAAAGTGAATATTTCCTGTACTGTTGATAGGTAAGGAACTTATGTTAACATGAAAAATTTGTCCAATAGTTGCACCTGCTACATTCTCTTTTACACGAAATACAAGTGGTGATTGTGCGCCCCTGTAAAGTTAGAGTTGTGTTACTAATTACGCCAGAATATTATAACTGACTTAAAGAATATATAAAATATCATATGAATATTTAAAAATATTACTTCAAAAGGACACCTCTCTCATCATTGACATCAACAACGTGAATTGTTGTATTTGTGGAAATGGATAAATTAGTACTCTCTTGCATCGCTACTGCTTCAAAATCATATAGTGGTCGTTCGAAATTAGTTAATTCATCTATTACTGTGATAACTCCAGATTTTTCTTCAACTGCAAATGGCACTGTAAGCAACAATAATTAAATATAAACTGCAGATTGACTGTCGAATGTTCTTGGTGCAGCAAAAAGTTCAATAAAGTTTCGGAACCTACCTCCTTCTTCATAACCGTGTAATAAGTCATATGTAACTTCTTTTTTGTTCATTGCATCATTTATTCGTATTTGACCGACACTAGTTCCAATTCCAACATTTGACCCAACCCAAAATTCGTATGGTGCCCCAAGAAAGTCAGGTTTGTCTGGTCTATTCCCTGAAGCAGAGTAATGAAAACGTTATTGAAAATATTATTAAAAGTAAATGAAAAACGTAACTGAATATTTTTACTACTTATACCTTTCACTACTCTTGTCACGTCGATAGTTACTACAGCTAACGAGTATCTTCTTTCACTAGGATTAGCTGGTTGATCTGAAGCTTCTATAAAAAGTGCATGCCTGCCTTCTGCTATTGGAGATTCTGCTACACTTATTGCACCAGTTTTAGCATCAATTTGAAATGGAGATGTGATGGTTAAGTTGCTTGTACGTTGTAAATCATATAACACTATACCATTTCTTCCTAAATCAGGATCAACGGCCTTCACTTTGCCAATAAAAGTGCCAACTTTAGAGTTGCCTTTTATGGCAAACTCATATAGGTTACTGGGTACGAAAACAGGATTGTTATCATTGGCGTCGAGTAACGTAACTTCCACGATAACAAATGACATAAGTTGATGAACATCTTCAAAGTATTCGATATTATCAGTCTTAGCGCCTATTTTATCAGGAAATATGTAAGTGGTTTTTTCTCTATATGGCGGTCTTAACGTAGATGGAGACCGATGCCATTTCGATAATCGTTGTTTATCCAAGAAAGTTCCTACCACGCTTGGATTCTTTTCTTTTGCATATACTTTCATACGTAATGATGCGTGTTGCTCTCTGTCTAATACTGTCTGAAAAAGATACATCAATAACACTTAACTCCGGAGTATATTTTCGAATTCATGGTCATTATTATCATTAGTATATTTACCTGGTTCCTAACAGTTAACCAACCAGATCTTGGGTCTATTGAAAAAGCACCTTCAGGGTCATTTAGTTGGTATATAAACTCTCCATTATCCTCCTGATCTCTATCAGTTGCCATAACTTGTAGTACACTGAAACCTTAAATAGAAACTTGGTCTGTATACTTGATTTTCTTCTTCCTTCGTGCATATAATTCTTAACGAAATATTTGAGATAATATGTTAGTTTAATGAAAATTCACTAACTCGAACAGCATATAATAGTGCTTTTTTTATTTTATTCCCAGAATAAGTACATTTATAAAAAGAATTACTTACTGACTTTAAAAGACCCTTGTAATTTATAAAAAATGTAGATTGTGGAAGTCTATTCTATAATACGCCTATACGGATGCAATAGGTATACTATAGGCATAATACATTTACGCCCTAGTAATTGTTTGTCACTTAAAATAACTAAAACTATTTTTTTTACCGTTAGGCAAGTTTTCAACAATGCTGATATTATAAAAGTCCACTTCGAATTCAGGCAAGTTATCGTTCAGGTCTATTATTTCCACCTCCACACGAGCTTGGGCCGTTTTCAAAGGATTATCTACTTGCGCCGCTTGAATTTGTAGAACAAACGTGTTTCCTAAAACAAATATTAAAGTTGTACCTATTTTATTAGAAAAAAACCCTTCATAAATACTTAAAATGTTTTAAGTTTCAATTACTACAGGCTAAGTAAAATTCTAAACTGTTCTTAGGGCCTGTTTCAAAATCGACAAATGAAGTTCTAAGTAAGCTACTTCGAAGATAATAGGTGTATTCAAACTATATCATACTATTGCACTATAATATAAATATAGCAAGACCATACACTATAGTTTAGTGTTGTTTGAACATGTTTAACGAAAAATGCGAAGGTACATTTAATAAGGCTTTTTAGTAAGCTTTGATTTTAGTTATCGATTGTGAAAAAGCCCTTAATCTTATAAATTCTAAAATTATTACAAGGAATTTTATAAACGTAGAAATTATTTAAATGCAAGATCCTACCGCTAATAAATAAAATATCAAATAAATTATAAATATATTGAATAATTTGCACTGTAACGGAAAACCAATCGGACCTTTTCCTGTTCGATTCTATCAGTCTGTAGAACTAAATGATTAATATTAGAATGATTATTACCTGGCAGTCCGACTTCTGTGTCCAGATCTATTTCTTTTTCAAGGAACACGCTACCGTTAAGTTGATCTAATGAAAACAGTTTCCGATCATTTCCAGCGACCAGCTCATACCGTATGGCTGCCGAGACACCTAAATCTTGGTCGTACGCGTGAATAGGTTCCGAGAATATCAGCTCTTTGTGGATTCGCTTACCCTTGAAAATATAAAAGACAAATGACGAAAGCAAGTTATCATATCATTCATATTATCCGATGAAACAGCAGTGAATTTAATTATTCGTTATTTAAACTGTAAATCATCAATAGGAGAATGAAAGAGATTAGTATTGCTTTACGAGCACATTTTGTACATTTTGCATAACAAAACTTTTTGTGGAGAAGGAGTGCAGAAAACTAATATGTTTATATATTACTAAATGCAGAAGAAAATTAATTCAATAAGCATTACTGCTGAAATGACATCACGTAGAAGCATGAAACAAGTAAGCGAATTCCTAAGCCAAGTGCGGAGAAGGATAGGAAGGATTTTTTACAGAATACAATCATTATAATAAAAAAATACTAAAAAGGTCAAATTGAGACCAATAGGCGACCACCAGTTTGGTAAGGTAAATATTCAAATAATATATATTTCTTATTCAAATATCAAAACTGCATGCTGACTAAGAATACATCGGTACCAGTATTGGATAGAACTCAGGTATCTGGGTCTTGTAGGCATCCAACGTAAACTTCGGAGGGAGGTCATCGTTGTCTTGTACTGTGATGTGAATTGTGGCATTGCTGCTTCGAGGTGGTGAACCACGGTCCTGGAAATGAGATTTGATTTGTCATCATCATCATCACCAGCCTATTAATGTCTCCATTGCAGGTACAGGTCTTCCTATGGATGGAATAGGGAGATGGGGCCGTGACCCACAACGCAGGTCCAAACGGATTGGTGGGTGCTGACGATTGCAGATGCAACCGGGTCCAACGGCTTAACGTGCCTTTCGAAGCACGATGGAGCTCGAGATAAAAGTTTTTTTTTAGACGGCCATTAGATAGTAGGTTTTGCTGTCAATTTGCCAGAAGTTAAGGTCATAAGGCGTCGTCTTTATTGGAAACAATCGTGCGATGACACAAATAAACATACAGATTTCTTCAGAAGTGTTCTAATTACAGCTCGTGAGCAATCCTACGAGCACATTTATTGTTTGATAACGATCGTACGATGGGTTTAATAGTACCATAATGTAATAAAATTCACCGATGTCTTTTGAGCGTCCTAAAAGGCCCTCTAAACGATCAAATTTGTTTCGCAAACTTGCATGACAAACTTCGTGTTTCGCATACTAATTTGTTTGTCAATTGCATCGAACATAGCCTTAAACAATATAATTTATTTGACAAATACATAGGATCGTTTACAGGGCTCTCAATTGATCGCACGTCACAGCACGAGTACAGCAACCCGTGGGGCACAGGACGAGCGGGGCGAGGGGCAAAACTGGTTAAAAGATGAAGGTTTCAGGATCTCATACGCACTCTAAGTTCTGCACATTGGGCAACATGTCGCCAATTGGGCTATCTTGGGACCAGAGCAGCTACGATTATTTTTGATCAGCTACGATGGGCCCTGCGCGATCTATTAGGACACCGCTGTTCAATCATCATCTTCTTCTTCTTCTTCTTCCGTCCCTGTTTCCGTTATCTGGGGTCGGGTCTCCTCACTCTGCGGCGCCAGGTTGATCTGTCCTGGGTTGTCGGTTTTGGCAATTGGGCTTTCTTAAGGTCTCTTTCAATGTTTGACCACCAGGTCGATGGCGGGCGGCCTCTACCTCTCTTTTGTTCTGGCAAGCTTAATGCGATTTTTACTACATGGTCATCGTCCCGTCTCATGATGTGACCATACCATCTAAGGCGATTTTCCATCATTTGTCTGTGATTGGTACGACTTTAAAACTCCCCCGTACGTATTCATTCCGAACTCTGTCCATCCTGGTCACCCCACCCGCCCAGCGCAGCATCTTCATTTCGTTGACATGTGCCATCTGTTCATGCGTTTTCTTGACTGTCCAACATTCGGAACCGTACAGTAAGGCTGGCCTGACGGCTGTCTTGTATACTTTACCCTTTGTTTTTATAGGCATACGGGTATCACACAGAACTCCCGTCAGCGACCGCTGTTCAATCATCGTATGATTATTTTCATCGCACGACGAGATTGCATTGTATCATCGTACGATTGTGGCCAATTAGGACGAGCGACGCCAATTGATGGATAACCTGTCTTCTGATGGTTTGACTGAGTTTAAGTTCCTCATCATCATTAGCATCTTTGCTATTGTTAGTGTTAACGGGCTAAGTTCCGCTAGTTCAGATTGTTGTTGCTAATAGCTACAGATGCAGCCGAGACCAACAGTTTAACGTGCCTTCCGAAGCACGGAGGAGCTTGAGATAGTCAATTTTTGGCCATCCATCCTCTGATGGGAATCGCGAAAGTTGCTAAACTTCCACTATCGCGTACTTAACGCGCCAATCACTGTGCCATAAAACTCCTCATATTTAACTCCTGACGGAAAAAGAGGGGTGCTTTTAGTTTGACGTATCTGTGAGTCTGTATATCTGTGTGTGTGTGTGTGTGTGTGTCTTTCTGTGATTCCTTAACGATAAGAACAATTTTTTTAGTTACTATTTTTATATTAGTAGTGGTCGCGACTTCGATTGCGTGGTTTAATTGGTTTCCGATACAAACTTCTACCCTCTTTTTCACTCCCTTATAGGATGATTTCTGGAACTATGTCCTTCCCTGGGACTCAAATTATTTCTGTACCTACTAAATTTCATCTCGATTGGTTTAAGCGTAAAGAGGTGACAGAGAAACATACAAACAGAAAGACAGACAGACACACATTCGCATTTACAATATTAGCAAAGAAGTATGGATATGAAAGTTCCAGAAGGAAGAAAAATGTTTTACCGATGCAGTAATAGTAACAGTGAACTCCTTGTCTCCCGCGTCATAGTCCAAAGCCTTTCTTAACACCAGCCCTGGTTTGTGGGAGCTTTCTAATGCAAAATGACCTTCTGGGTCACCGCTTGTGATGCTGTACTGGATATCAGAGTTTGGCGTGTTGGGCTTATCGCGGTCAAACGCGTGGATCCCCTTGAAGATTGTCAGTCCTGTAAAATGAAATATACCTTGTTGACGAATGAAGTTTTTATTAACGAATAGTTGAAAAGTTGAAACCAGGAAACCTACTTAATCACACTAATATTATAAAGGCGAAAGTTTGTGAGTGTGTGAGTATGTGAGTGTGTATGTTTGTTACTTCTTCATGTCTAAACGGCTGGAGTGATTTTAATAAAATTTGGTATGGAGTTAGCTGACACCCTAGATTCACACATAGGCTACCTTTATCCCGAAAAAATGTTAGGTTCCAGAGGGATTTTTAAGAAACTAAGTTAACGCAGACGAAGTCGCGGGCGACCTCTAGTTATAAATATTTATAACAATAGTTAAGTAAAGCAAATAAATAATATGGTTACTCATATATGCTACCTGATAACTTGTCACGTTAACATTAAAACCACACAAACACGCAAACATACACTCACATTATAATATTATGTTACATTGGTTCTATAACAGCGTCGTAGTTGGTGACTGCAACATGTACTGAGTAGAGACCATTTCAAATGACTAACTCTTAGCAATATTAAGCATCTTTAATTACTGTCATTATACGTAGAAAGCTAAATAACATGTTTTTGATTTAATGAACGTTAAAATTCCAAAAACATACAGTTCCCCAGAGCTTTAATTCCAAAAGCTACAAATGTCTAGCTATTACCTATTTCAATATAATTCAATTACCTATTTCTTAGACTTGAAATACAACTCTGAAAGTCATGGTTGAATCTTCTAGATTTCGCCGAAAATCGTCTTCGCAATAATTCAGTTAAGTTTTCTTTTTTACAATTATTTTATTTAATATTTTGAAAAAACCGATGCTATTCTTTAAAATTTTGATATTTATAAATTTGGATTTGACATGGGATGAGTACTCGGCATAGCTACAGTAGCCGGCGGATCCGACACATTATTTTCATCCAGCCGGGCAACGGGTATCAATGCAGGGTACCTACTAATACTAAGGGTAATTGACTTAATGAAAAATAACGACTAAAATTTATTAAAAAGAAAACAGTTATTCAGCAAGGAAAATACAGATGAATAGTTCTATTATAGTGTTAATATTTGCAATTTCAAATTGGCAAATTATGACGTAAGAACTTCAGTTTTTCAGCATCATTGGTATCCCATCAAATCTACTTCTAAATAGGCGTTCGCTGTAAATAGGACTAGCAGGATATAGTACATTACTGCTGCGGCCAGCAAAAGAGGCATTGATGGACAAACGTAAGACCATCAATGCCTAGTTGTGGCCAAGACTTGTATAGTTCTCAAACAATGCGTGGAAATTAAATAATTACTTTTCAAAATCGATAACAAACAACAATATATTTTCTCACGTTAAAGTGGTCATTGTTTTGTTTTTTTAATCATCATTTTTTTCTCATCTTTATCTTTTTTTGCCAGCCAATTCGAAATTTAAATAAACAATATTTCGGAGTATATGAGTTGTATGTTACTTGGTGTCAAATATGTTTTTTTGCCAGTACAGCAATTTTGATTTATCTCGAAGGTTGTCGAAATAATGATTAAACCAAGCATTATTAAGAAAAATATATAGCCGCAACTTTTCGCAACATCATGTCAGCGCTGCCGGGTACCGGCAAATTCATTACCCGTCCCATGTCCAATAATTATGGTGACCATTTGAATTTGTGAATTAATTATTTTCTAAGTTTCTAATGATTCATATTTGTATGTAAAAAGGAAGCATAATAAATAGTATCGTTAGAAAATCAATTGATTTAACGATGCTTACCACCAACCTATGCTACTTCTTACAAAGAGGTGGCCTAAGCTTGAGCAACACCTAAAGTAAATTTTGACAATTACTACTGACTTTTATAGTTTATTTTATCATTTAAAAATCATTAATTGAATAGTATATTAACAAAATGTACTATTTTCAATTAATGATTTTTTAAATAATAAAATACCCTAATATATGTGGTGTGTGTTTGATATTCGTGTGTATTTATTATAATAGTATAAAATATGTAGATGATAATACATCTATGTAATTTTTTGACATTTTAATTGAACATTGATGCAATTTTTCGTGACTATTTTAATTAAGAATAGATGAGTATTCTTTTTTTTGTGACTTTGCATATCATTAATATCTTTAAATTAATTTTATTCATTTTGACATCACTGGACCGTATTAATGTAATTTTCTTCTATAACCTGTTATACATATTTGCACGTTGACATTCATCAAAATATGTTGGAAACTAAAGAAATACCTAACAACTATTGTAACCATATTTTGGCAAATATTTGATTATTATTTTGACGTGACAACGTCTTAAATTAGGTTGCGGCTGGGAGTCACTTATGAAAAAGTGTAACGCTCGGTAACGTTACGATGAGTCTCTCGTGTTAAGTTTAAGTTTACATGTACAATGTTTTAGTAAACAAAATATATTTCTATAGTTAAAATTTGTGCAATTCTTATTTTCATTCAATTCCTTGTTCCTATTGTGAAATTTAATTATATTCATATCAATAAATATTCTACCGAGAAAAAGACGTTGTCACGTAAAATCTTCGCCCGTAAAACCGACTTTACAGGCAACCATTTTTTTTATTATTGTTATAGAATGAGCTTAGAAGCTCCTATTTAGTATCAATAGGGTTAGGCTTAGATAAATGATAAGTCTTCCTTCGTCGACCGAAGGGAGACCAATCATTTATCTATGGGGTAAGGGTAATACCTAAATTTGTATAAATACCCGTAGGAGTGAGTTCATCCACAGTGATCCTGTATGGAGTGTCCAGGAACCTTGGCGGGTTGTCATTCACATCCTCGATGTAAACAGTCACTGACAGGTACGCTGAAATCTGGAAATGAAACGAGATTCAATTACAGATTATTATATTTTTATTTTGGCAGACATTTCGGAGGATCTCATATTCATTACAATGCTCAACGACCTCAGTAGAGCCTCTCAACAAGTGGGCCTAAAAATAAATATGAGAAAGACAAAATTATGTTTAATGATTGTGTTCCGCTCCACTCGGTAATCATTGACAACTCGCCACTCGAAATTGTCGACAATTATTTGAGAAATGTCATTGCCATTGTCTAATTATCCGTGTATTCGCAAATTATTGTATTTTCACGTAAATTCGATGTATCAAATCATCCTACGACATATATACGTACTGACCACTATGATATCGCCAATCAACTAATCAGACATCAATCGTGATAAAATTCTGAGTCCAATTCTTAGAAATACTTACAATTGAACATAATAGAAAGCGTAAGGGAAATAAAAATCTTAAAACACGAACTCCTCTGGGATATTTGAAATTAGGGAGAAGAACTAAATCGATGAAGCTCCTCACTTAATATCTAAAAGATTAAAGTATATTGATTGCAAAAATTTTGCGATTGAGAAAGACAGTGTATTTAGATATCTTTTAAGAGACGGGGAAGGGCATAGCGGATTACCCGCTCGAATTAGAGCGTTCGTCTGTGGAAGAAATCTTATATCTTAGTTTATCTTCTATAAGGTGGGGACCTTACAGAAGATAAAATAAGACTACCTTTTGGTGGTGTTGTTTTTCTGCTGGCGGGTGTAACTACAGGGCTCCACGGGGTAGGAGATTGGGCTAGGGTAGACAACGGTGTGAATAATATTTTTGGTATCGCAAGCATCTAAAGGCTATGGTAGTCACTTACCATCAGGCAGGCTATTAGATTTTTTGCCACCTTTGAACATAAAATAAAATATTTTACGTAACAAATAAGATAGGTAAGACATAGCGGTTTTTATGCTTTAACTGGAGTGCCTCCATCTGGGATAGTAACCCTCACCTTACAAAAGACCGCAGTGAATTATCATTGACTTTTGGTGGTGCTGTGGTTCTGTCGGTGTAAAAAGGGGTGAGGTCAGAGTAAGCATCGCGTGAATAATTTGAATCACAAGTATCTATAGGCCATTGAGCTCGATGGCGAGGACGGTTAGCGCGTTCGGCTGCGATCGTTGAAGTTAAGCAACTTTCGCAGTGGTCGGTCATTGGATGGACGACCGAAAATCTTCTATTTCGAGTTCCTTCGTGGTTCGTAAGGCACGTTAAGTCGTTGGTCCCGGCTGCATCTGCAGTCGTTAGCACCCGCCAATCCGCACGGGACCCTCGCGGTGGGTAATGGCCCAATCTACCTATTCCATCCATAGGGAAGGCATGTGCTCCAGCAGTAGGGACATTACTTAGCTGATGATGATAAGCCATATGCTTGTTTGCCCCCATTCTTATGCTGAGTTTCCACTTAAACTCAAAAAAGTTCTGAACGAGCAAACATTCGCTCGCTCGGCAAATGGAAACATCAGAGCCAGCCAACGAGTTCTCACAACGATGTTTGACTGGACTCAGAGAACTCTCTCTTGCTCAGTCATTAATAGAAGCAACGCAACATTGTTCAGAGCATTCTATACTTCCGGACACATCTACCGGCCCACTTTTTTTTATTGCGTAGACAATACCTCTATCTACAGACGTTGGCGCCCTTAAGGGGCACACCAACGAACGGACCTCACATATAGCCTCTCACAAGTCTCATGGGTGCGAAACGGAGAAGCCGTTAAGCGGTCCGCGCTGCTTACGAGCGCTTGCGGCATACTATCCGCTAAAAACCCTGTGTAGAACCCTCTACACTGTTAAGTGCGGAACCGGGAGATCCCCGTTGAGGGACTTCACCGCGTTTCCGCACCCAACTATCGGCCCACCGAGAATTTTAAGTTTTGGTGGTCCCTAGCTAAAAATAAATGTTACATTGAGCAAAAAGTTATCATCTACGCTGTTTCGAAACTTATTTGTTAACAATGTTTTTGTGTGTTTTTATAATTATCCCTTAACCATAAACATTTTGCTACAGACCATTGAAACTTATAACACAAAGTGGGCTGATAGAAGTGTCTGGAAGTATATTTACTGAACAAACAAAGCCCACTCAGACAAAGCACTAGGTGGAAGCGCAGCATTACGTAAAAACAAACGAAATTGTTTTTGCTTTAATTCAATAAAAAACTTTATTAATAAGATAGGACAAAAGTCCTATGTACATATTAGCTGTGCCCCGCTGTGTTACCCGCGGTTTAATAGGCATGTTTTCCTGCAGTAAAACGTAGTCTATGCCTATGTGTTAATCCTGGGTGTCAGCTAACTTCATACCAAATTTTATTAAAATCGCTCCAGACGTATAGACGAGAAGAAGCAACAAACATACACACTCACACACTTTCGCCCTTATAATATTAGTGTTATATACAATTGAGAAATTTTATATAATTAAACTTTATTGCCACATTAATAGCCACGGACTAAGAGCGGGCTCAATGATTGAATAGTACTCTGCCAGAAATTAACTAGGTACATATATTTATAAATTATCGTCCAAGGAGGATGATCGTGAATTTCTTCGTATACAAGCTAATATACCCTATATTTACATATAGTCCAGTCAATGAAGGCAAAAATCAGCTACAACCTCCGAATTTGTAATTACATTACAAGTTTTGCTTAGGATTTGTTTCTTTATCGATTTCAGGAGTTATTTTTATTAAATGTGGTGGCATCTATTCCCAGGGCAAAAGCGCAAGTTGGCACTATGTCACTGTTATCCCCCACCTACTCACCAATTTTCATGAAAATCGATGGAGTTTCAACGAAATCGGAGGTGAAAACTTTCATTGACTGGACTAATAAACAAAGTGAGTTCCACAGGTAGTTTTCCCTGTCTGAAACAAGCTGCGCCATTGGATTCACTGATCGCAACTATTATTATGCAAATATGAAAAGACAGGTGTAAACAAACGCTACCATTCAAAGATCCAGAAGACCTGGATGTGATTTTATAATTACAGTTTATTTTTGTGAGAGATATACAAAGAATTAGGAACAATCAAATTGTCCTTCTTATTACTATAAATATAATAAGGCCATAACCTAGGCCTACAATAGCCTTAAGGTGTCGTCCGAATTGGCAACGATCGTACGATGACACCATGCGTTCTCTTCTTGCGATGAAAATAATGTACCTGTGCTTGTGCGATGAAAATAATATACCTGTGCTTGTGCGATGAAAACAATGTACCTGTGCGCGTGCGACGGTTTACGAGCTGTATTAGGGCACTTCTGCAGAAATCTTTATGTTTGAACTCATCGCACGACGAGATAGCATCGTGTCATGGTACGACCGTTGCCAAATCGGCGAAGCGCGATGCCTTAGCAACTTAAATCTTTCGTAGTTACAAATTGACGGTTAAGATATATCATTATTTTATTGTCATAACCAATCTAGATAAAAATATTCGAAAACAATGTTAAGTGATAACTACAAAGAAGAAAAAAGTAATCTGCAGAGAAGACTAAACATAACAAATTCATAAGGAATAGTAATCGAGTTCCTTTATTTGCTACGCTGTAATTAGGTTTGAGTAATGAAAACTTGAATGTATAAAGACATAAATTACAACAACAAAAAAAACTTCATGTAGGTAATGAATATTATAGTTTTAAACGTTTTTTTTAAACGAGAACTAATGGTCGATAGTACGGGTTCGCAGTATCTATATCGGTACATTAATCATATGTAGTATTTATAGTTATGGGAAATTGCTCAGCAACAATACCATCCTTGAAGGTGCTGTGGCAGCAGGAATAGAAATGTTCGTCAAAAGTGTAAGACAGCAGAGGTAGAACGATAGGCCGATGAAGTAGTTAGTCTTCAGATAAGTAGAACAGGGGGCCATTCGCCTCACGGGAATGCTGTGGGAAAACGCTAACGCTTTCGATTTCATTGTTTTATTTCTGACCGCCGCAGGTTTTCAAATACCTCACGCTCATTTTCTTTAATATTGTTATTACCAATGCAAAATAAAAAAAAAGCGCAAGGCATTTGAAAACCTCAGGCGGCTAGAAATAACAAAATGAAATCGTAAGCGTTAGCGTTTTCCAAAGCATTTCCGTTAGGCGAATGGCCCCCAGGTGATAGGTACTTCCTAGGTTGCAAGTGGTCCCTGCAAGTTCCATAGAAATCACTGTGAGGACGATGTTCGGTCTTCTCCCTGACTGAGTCGTCGTACTCGTAAGTAACATGCAAGGCGTATCATGCCCGATCTTATTATTACGGCTATCAATGTAATACAGAGAAACTTCATGAAGCAAGTGGTTAGCGTTTTTAGCTGCGATCATTGAAATTAAGCAAATTTCGCAGTAGACTGTCATTGGATGGGCCAAAAATTTGCTATCTCGAGCTCCTTTATGCTTCGGAAGGCACGCTACGCCGTTGGTCCCGGCTGCATCTGCAGTCGTTAGCACCCACCAATCCGCACTGGGCCCGCGTGGTGGGTCATGGTCCAATCTCCCTATTCTATCCACAGGCTTGTGCATCAGCAGTGGAGACATTAATAGGATGATGATGAAATGTGAGACAGTCGGGGCTGATTGACAATTTAAAATAAAGGAGATGGACACGTAAATTATATCTAAAGAAAAGTTTACTAGAAAACAAATTCCACGCGGACAAGGCAGCAGACGGGACTCGAACCCGCAACCTTCGCTATCCGGGCGAATGCTCTGACCATTATGCTACCGCGGCCCTTTCCACGCGGATAAATAATAGATAATGGTCAGTGCATTCGCCCGGATAGCGAAGGGTGCGGGTTCGAGTCCCGTCTGCTGCCTGGTCCGCGTGGATTTTTTTTCTAGTAAACTTTCCTTCAGTTCTGAAGCTCTAAAATAGCCCGTTAACATTTTGCATGACATTAGGGTCGCAACAAAACTAAATAATAAAATAGACCTCACAACATTGAACAACACACTCCCTTATTAAT